CAGTGTCCATTTCTTTCTCCGGCCACCTCAGCCCCCGACAGCCCACCAAGCCACTCCCTTTTATATAAACCCTGTTTTTGCCTTTGGTGGATGCAATCAGTCTGTGATTGATCTTCCTTATGTAAAACTTCATTCATTCATTCATTCATTCATTCATTCATTCAGGGAGCAGCCCTGTACCAGCCCCTTCTAGGTCCTGGGGATAGAGAAATGAGGAAGACACAGCCCCTCTCCTTGGGGAGCTCAGGGCCTCCGTCATCCTCTGTGGGCGGGGTCTGCTGCCCTCCACGTTGCCTCACAGGCCCTCTGTGATCTCCCTCCCAGCCCCAGAGCCTCTCAAGCTGGACCCTGCCACTGCCCACCCACTCCTGGAGCTCTCCAAGGGCAACACGGTGGTGCAGTGTGGGCTCCTGGCCCAGCGGCGCGCCAGCCAGCCTGAGCGCTTCGACTACAGCACCTGCGTCCTGGCCAGCCGCGGCTTCTCCTGCGGCCGCCACTACTGGGAGGTGGTGGTGGGCAGCAAGAGCGACTGGCGCCTGGGGGTCATCAAGGGCACAGCCAGCCGGAAGGGCAAGCTGAACAGGTCCCCCGAGCACGGTGTGTGGCTGATCGGCCTGAAGGAGGGGCGGGTGTACGAAGCCTTTGCCTGCCCCCGGGTGCCCCTGCCCGTGGCCGGCCACCCCCACCGCATTGGGCTCTACCTGCACTATGAGCAGGGCGAGCTCACCTTCTTCGACGCTGACCGCCCCGATGACCTGCGGCCGCTCTACACCTTCCAGGCCGACTTCCAGGGCAAGCTCTACCCCATCCTGGACGCCTGCTGGCACGAGAGGGGCAGCAACTCGCTGCCCATGGTGCTGTCCCCGCCCAGTGGGCCTGGCCACCTCAGCCCTGAGCAGCCCACCAAGCTGTAGGGCCACCCAGGGTCCTGCCGGCCCACAGGCCCATCCCCACAGGGCACCAGGGACTCACGGGCTTCTGTTGGGTCCCAAGGTGATATCTTCACTGTTTAGGAAGGTCTTCAGGCCTGTGTGTCCCTGGAACATGTAATGATAGGGAACAGGACCCCATTCCCTTTGCCATCAGCCAGGGGTGTATTTGTAAACGTCGGCCCCCAGGCCTTGGCAGCCACGGGACACACAGAGCTCCCCATGGTCCCTGCTAACCACGCTGTCTGCGCAGACACTTCCAGCTGAGGGCAGAAATAGTCCCATGTATACTTTTTCCTTATTACTGTGAACTTTCAACTACTATCAAGGATAATAAATTTGACATTCTTTCTTTCTCTTTCAATGATTTGCAAATATTAGTCGCTGTACATACATACTGCTTTATGCTTCAGTCTCTTTTTTTTTTTTTTTGAGATGGAGTCTCGCTCTGTCACCCAGGCTGGAGTGCAGTGGCATGATCTCTGCTCACTGCAACCTACACCTCCCAGGTTCAAGTGATTCTCCTGCCTCAGCCTCCTGAGTAGCTGGGATTACAGGCATGCACCCCACACCCAACTAATTTTTGTATTTTTAGTAGAGATGGGGTTTCGCCGTGTTGGCCAGGCTGGTCTCGAACTCCTGACCTCAGGTAATCCACCTGTTTCAGTCTCCCAAAGTGCTGGGATTACAGGCGTGAGCCACCATGCCCAGCCTCAAGTCTTTAGTTTTAGAGACAGGATCTCGCTCTGTCACCCAGGCTGGAGAGCAGTGGTGCAATCGTAGCTCACTGCAGCCTGGGCTTGAACCTCCTGGGCTCAAGCAATCCTCCTGCCTCAGCCTCCTGAGTAGCTGGGACGACAAGTGTCTGCCACCATGCCCAGCTAATACTTAAATTTTTAGTAGAGACGGGATCTTGCTGTGTTACCCAGGCTCGTCTGGGCTTCAAGCAATCCTCCCACCTTGGCCTCCCAAAGGGCTGGGATTACAGGTGTGAGCCACTGGGCCCAGCCTCCCATACCCCTTTGACTCACCATACGACAGGCTAAGTGGGTTCTGGAAACTCCGGGGTAGCCCTGTAACCAAGATGCTGGCTCTGGCTACTGGAAGTCAGACTGGGTGCACAGACCAGTAAGAGGGCCTGAGGGAGCCTAGCGGGGGCAAACAGCAGCCCTTAGCCTCCCACAGCCCTGACTCTCCTCCTGCCTCTCCTTGGTCTCCTTCGAGGATTCAGCCTCTCCTCCTCGCCACTCATGCTGAGGGGCTCCAGGCTCCTCTTCCGGCTGTCTACACCTCCACACCCACGGCTCCAGTCATCACTTCCACAGGGATGACTCAGAAGTTCCCTCTCCAGGAGACCCGTCTCTTACATGCCACATCCACTAGAGCTCCAGCCATTCAGCAGCTCCACCTGGACGTCAAGGGCATGTCCCAAACTGCGCTCATGATCTTCCTACTCCCCCATCCCTGAGATTTATCCTGTGGCTGTGGTGTCCTGTGGCTACTGTAACAAATAACCACAAACTTGGTGACTTCAAACAATAGAAATTTAATCTCTCATGGTTTCGAAGGCCAGACATCCAAGATCACGATTATGGCAAGGCCGCGCTCCCTCTGGAGACTGTGGTGTAAAACCTGCCCCTTTCCTCTTCAGCTTCAGGTGGTGGCTGCCACGCCCTGGTGTTTCCTGGCCTGTGGCTGCATCATTCCGATCTCTGCCTCTGTCTTCATGCGGCCTTTTCTGTATATGTCAGTCCAATCTTCCTCTGCTTCTCTCTTGTTTTTGTTTTTTTTTTTTTGAGACAGAGTCTTGCTCTTGTCATCCAGGCTGGAGTGCAATGTCACGCTCTCGGCTCACTGCAACTTCCGCCTCCCAGGTTCAAGCAGTTCCCTTGCCTCAGCCCCCTGAGTAGCTGGGATTACAGGCATGCACCACCACACCCAGCAAATTTTTGTATTTTCAGTAGAGATGGGGTTTCACCATGTTGGCCAGGCTGGTTGCGAACTCCTGGGCTCAAGGGATCCGCCAACCTTGGCCTCCCAAAGTGCTGGGATTGCAGGTGTGAGCCACTGCGCATGGCCTTTCTCTGCCTCTCTCTTATAGGGATACTTGTGATGCCACGTAGGGCCTGCCCAGATAAGCCAGGATAACCTTCTCTGCAAATCCTTCTCCTGATCACTCCTACAGATCTCTTCCGTAGAAGGTGACATCTCCAGGCTCTAGGAATTAGGACCTGCTCTCTCTGGGTGGCCATTGTCCACTCCACCACCCTGGGTTTCCCCATCCTACCAAAAGACACAGCATCACTGTGTCAACTGCTCAAACCAAAAACCTATGAGTTACTCTTGACCTGTCCTTTTTCCTGAGCAAGTTCTGGGGATTTAACTTAGTGGTCGCACTGCCAACTTCAACTTAACTCCACTGCTACCAACTCAGTGCAGGCTACCAGTTCTTGCTTTAGGTGACTGCCATGACCCCCATTGGTCTCTCCCTTCCTCAACTCTGCTCCCTCTATCCTATATCCCCACACTGTAGCCAGACTGATTATGTATGTATGTATGTATGTATTTATTTATTTATTTATTGGAGAAAGAATCTCGCTGTATCCCCCAGGCTGGAGTGCAGTGGCACAGTCTCAGCTTACTGCAACCTCCGCCTCCCAGGTTCAAACGATTCTCCTGCTTCAGCCTCCCGAGTAGCTGAGATTACAGGTGTCTGCCACCATGCCTGGCTAAATCTTTGTATTTTTAGTAGAGACGGGGTTTTGTCATGTTGGCCAGGCTGGTCTCAAACTCCTCACCTCAAATGATCCGCCTGCCTTGGCCTCCCAAAGTGCTAGAATTACAGGTGTGAGCTGCTGCACCTGGCCAGACTGATCTTTTAAAGAAGTGTATGTGAGCACAGCACTCCATGACTTAAAATCCTTAAGAGGACTACCATTTCTCTCAAGATAAAAGAACAAAATCCTTGTTGGGCACAGTGGCTCATGCCTGTAATCACTGCTTTGGGAAGCCAAGGTGGGAAGATCGCTTGAGGCCAGGAGTTCGAGACCATCCACAGGCAACATGGTGAGACCCCCATCTCTACAAAAGATAAAATTAGCTGGGTGTGGTGGTGCACACCTGTAGTCCCAGCTACTTGGAGGGTAAAGTGGGAGGATTGCTTGAGCCCTGGAGTTCAAGCCTGCAGTGAGCTATGATGGTGCCACTGCACTCCAGCCTGGGTGACAGAGTGAGACCTCATCAAAAACAAAAACAAAAACAAACTATTAGTGTGGCTTTAAGGCCTGGATCATACCTACATCACTTACTGTATTTGACCAAACCGGCCCATTTCAGGTACCCAAATACCCCATGTGCTTTCTTGCTTGGCTCTGGGACTAATGTGGTCACTGGTGCAGGGTGAGTGGCAGGTATTGTGAACATTGTGGACCTGGAGTTGCTAGGACCTTCTCTGCCATTGCACAGAAAAAGCCTCCCTGAGAACACAGCCATTGGAGGACACATGACAGAGGAAGATAAGACAATACACAGAGACACATAATTACGGCCAGCGTGGGGGGCTCACGCCTATAACCCCAGAACTTTGGGAGGCCGAGGCGGGCAGATCACCTAAGGCCGGGAGTTCGAGGCCAGCCTGGCCAACATGTGAAACCCCGTCTCTACTAAAAATTGAAAAATTAGCCGGGCATGGTGGCGGGCGTCTGTAGTCCCAGTTACTCGGGAAGCTGAGGCAGGAGAATGGCGTGAACCCGGGAGGCAGACGTTGCAGTGAGCCGAGATCACGACACTGTGTGACAGAGTGAGACTCTTTATCTCAAAAAAAATTTATACATATATACATATAATGACCAATACACATGTGAAGGTATTCAACCTCAATAACTGCAGTTAAACAGCAGTAAAATCCCATTGTTTGCCCATCAGATTGGCAAAGACTGAAGAACTAGAGAAGAAATGGCCAAACGGGCTCGTAGAGTCGCACTCCCCACCCCGGCAGGTGCGCGATCACACACACTCCTTGCAGGGGGACTTCGACCTGAACTTCCGGTCCCGGAAGGTCGTGCTCTTTGACCCCGGAAGTTCGGGCGTGCGCAGAGCCCGGTGCGCTTTGCGACAGAGCCGTAAAGGCGCGCGGGAACATGGGGCTGTACGCTGTCGCGGCAGGCGTGCTGGCAGGCGTGGAGAACCGCCAGGGCTCCATCAAGGGGCTGGTGTACTCCAGCAACTTCCAGGTAGCGGGCCCGGGCGCGAGAAGTAGGGGTGTGGGGTGAGGAACCCGGGGTGGGGTGAGACGGGCCCCGGTGGGGTCGGGAGTTGGGGCCCGGCGAGGAGGGCCGGCGGAGCCCCGGTCCCAGCCTGTCTCCCTCGGCTTTACAGAACGTGAAGCAGCTGTACGCGCTGGTGTGCGAAACGCAGCGCTACTCCGCCGTGCTGGATGCCGTAATCGCCAGCGCCGGCCTCCTCCGTGCGGAGAAGAAGCTGCGGCCGCACCTGGCCAAGGTGAGCGGAGGGGCGGGGCGGGGCGGGGCGGGGCGGGGAAGTGAACCCCGACGGCGTGCGCTTTGTCATCTGGTCTTAGCTTTGCTGCCGTGCACGGCGGGACTGGAGCAAGTCGTTCATCTGAAATGAGTATGAGCAGACCTTCCCTGGGTAGCGAATTGAGATGGGATGAAAATGCTTAAACTTAGAGTGTTTTGAAGAATTAAATAACCGAAGTACAGAGTAGTAGTGGCGGAGACTGTAAGAAGTCGGGCGTGGCGGCGCGCACCTGTGGTCCTAGCTAGTCGGGAAGCTGAGGGGGGAGGATCACTTGAGCCCAGGAGTTCGAAGCTGCAGTGAGCTATGATCTGGCCACTGCACTTCAGCCTGGGCTACAGAGCTAGACCCCAGTTATTAAAACCCCAAACCCACGAAAGGGTAATGTCGGCAAGAAGTTGGGTGCAGAGGTCTACTGGTGAACATCTGTGGGGAAAAGGTCTAAGGCTGGGAAGCAGGATGCCAGGTTCTGATCCTGTTCTGTAGTTAATTTCTGGTGTGATCTTGGGTGAGGTACCCCACCTTTGTCTGCCAGGTTATCTGTTTAGCCATTCCAGTGCCGGGGCTCTATTAGAGTTAGTTCTAAGGCATTTATGCGTCATGCTTAGGGCTTTTTTGTTTTCGTGTTTGTTTCCTCATCCCCAGGTGCTAGTGTATGAGTTGTTGTTGGGAAAGGGCTTTCGAGGTGGTGGGGGCCGATGGAAGGCTCTATTGGGCCGGCACCAGGCGAGGCTCAAGGCTGAGTTGGCTCGGCTTAAGGTTCATCGGGGTGTGAGCCGGAATGAGGACCTGTTGGAAGTGGGATCCAGGCCTGGTCCAGGTGAGCTGGAAGGAGTTGGGGGTCGGGGAGGCGGGGAACTTTGCTTCTGTCTACTCACTGCTCATTGCGTCCTAGTCTCCCAGCTGCCTCGATTTGTGCGTGTGAATACTCTCAAGACCTGCTCCGATGATGTAGTTGATTATTTCAAGAGACAAGGTTTCTCCTATCAGGGTCGGGCTTCCAGGTGAGAGCTTAGAGCCCTGGCCGTCCTCATCTAGGGAGGTGGGGTAGTGGGAAGAGAAGTGGCTGGATAGTTGTGACTTTGCTCTCTGGGCTTTCTTCCTACCTTTCCAGCAGTTTCTCCATCTTCAAGGTTTGTCTTCCTCCCATCCCTTAAACATCAAACTCCTAGGAGTCCCATCCTACATTCTTTCTGGATCTCTACATTTTTTTCTCTAGCTTGAACTCCTGCCTGCGACCTGGTGATTCTCACCGCCCAGAGTAGACTTCCCTTCCTCCTCAGGCTCATACGAATGCACCACAGATGCCACAGCCGCTGCGTTCGCCATCTCTCCTCTCAAACTACACTTAGTGCATCCCCAGTTTAATCTAACAGATGTCACTATCTTCCACCCATTTGATCAAGCCAGAAACTGAGTCATCCTAGGTGCTTCCTTCCCCTCCCTCCAATCATTTACTCCCCCACCTTCAGCATCTTTCTCAGCTCCACTCCTTTCTCTTTTTTTAAGACTGAGTCTCACTCTGTCACCCAGGCTGGAGTGCAATGGCATGATCTTGGTTCACTGCCTCCCAGGTTCAAGCGATGCTCCTGCCTCAGCCTCCCAAGTAGCTGGGATTAGAGGCTCCCACCACCATGCCCAGCTAATTTTTGTATTTTTAGTAGAGATGAGGTTTCACCATGTTGGCCAGGCTGGTCTCAAACTCCTGAACTCAGGTGATCTGCCCGCCTCGGCCTCCCAAAGTGCTGGGATTACAGGCGTGAGCCACCGCACCTGGCCTCTACTCCTTTCTCTTCATCCCCTTGGACACTGCCTAGGTTAAGCACTCATTTCTTATTGGGATTACCACAAGAACTTCCCAGACTGGTCCCTCTGCTTCCAGACTGTCTCACTGCATTTTCCTCCTTGAGGTTGACTGTAGGAAGCTCTAAAGGCAGATCTGATGCTGTTACTCCCCTGCTAAGCCCTTTCTTTTCTGAGATGGAGTTTCGCTCTTGTTGCTCAGGCTAGAGTGCAATGGCGCGATCTCGGCTCACTGCAACCTCTACCTCCCAGGTTCAAGCAATTCTCCTGCCTCAGCCTCCTGAGTAGCTGGGATTACAGGGATGCAGCACTGTGCCCGGCTAATTTTGTATTTTTAGTAGAGACGGGGTTTCTCCATGTTGGCCAGGCTGGTCTCAAACTCCTGACTTCAGGTGATCCGCCTGCCTGGGCCTCCCAAAGTGCTGGGATTACAGGCGTGAGCCACTGAGCCCGGCCATGCTAAGCCCTTTCTTGGCTTCATTGTGCTGTCCCTCCTGCCTTCTCTCCAGGTCCATCTGCCACGGTGCTGTGTGCACCAGTGGGCCAGCAACAGTGGCTGGTTCCTGTCCCATGCCACTAGCACTGGGCTCACACCTGTCTCGTTTTGTCCTTTGGTGGCTCTGAGAAGCAGCCTCTGCCCCTCTTCCTTTCCCCCACTCTTTGTAAGATCCTTTCTTCTGCCTCTACCATGTTGCTTGGACACCAGGCTGGAATAGCAGAGAACAGCTGCTTGCGTTTGAATTCCAGCTCTATCGCTTTGATAGATTTCTGAACCGAGACATGTGGCTCTCTAGGCCCATTTCGGCATGGATCGGGTAGAGTGGGCGGTCCTCCTTTACTGAGTTACAGTGAATGGAGTTTTAACCTAAGTGCCTCACACTCCTCATCCATCAGGAATGAGCTCAGCTCTCACCTCCCTGCATCCCCTCACCCCCCCGTAAAGTAACCTTTCTCGAAGGTTATGCTTCAACAGGAATAGCTAACATTTATTAATTTGTGCCAAGTAAGTATCTTGGATATATTGGCTCATTGAATCCTCACACCTACTATTTTACAGAGATGCCAGTGGGCCTTGAGATTGAATCACTTGCCCAGGCTCCCACTGCTGGTAAACAGGAGAGGGGGCTCCTGAGCCATCAGTCTGGCTTGACAACCCATTCCCTCAACTGCGGAGGATTCCATAGGATTCCACAGCCTCTAGCTTATCACCCTGTTGATTTCTCCGTAGCTGGGGTAACATTTGTTGCATGTTGGAATGGGGCCTGGCAGGGAGAAATTCGGGAAATGATGAATGGTTCTTCCCTGGCAGCCTCGACGACTTACGAGCCCTCAAGGGGAAGCATTTTCTCCTGGACCCCTTGATGCCGGAGCTGCTGGTATTTCCCGCCCAGACAGATCTGCATGAACATCCACTGTACCGGGCCGGACACCTCATTCTGCAGGACAGGGTAAGCAAGAGGAACAGAAAAGAGAAGAATGTGTAGGTGTGGGAAGGGCCTAGCCTGGGGTCTCTGTTCAGCCGGCCCCTGTGCTCTGCCCGCCAGGCAAGCTGTCTCCCAGCCATGCTGCTGAACCCTCCGCCAGGCTCCCATGTCATTGATGCCTGTGCCGCCCCAGGCAATAAGACCAGTCACTTGGCTGCTCTTCTGAAGAACCAAGGGTGAGTGCCACGGTCAGGAGCCGGGAGGAGGGCATGGGGTTTGATTCTATGCCTTTCAGTGGGTAATGAAGGCTGAAAGGATGGCGTCCGCTTACTCTTTCCTGCTGCACCAAAGCAGTTCATGGTATTTGGCCCAAGCTAAGCTTCCCCCACTGCAGGTGTGAGATGTGGATCCCTTAGCCCTTGGGGCGGAGACCCCAGGCCAGTTACCTCTGACCCTGGGCTCTTTAAACGTAGGCCATTTCGATGTTGTATGTCCTGGCTTAACCTGCACATTCTTCGATATCATGTGTCCTAGCTTAACCTGCACATTCTGGCTGGCTGTGACAGGCCCTTAGCTGCTCCATGCGTGCTCAGGTCACCCCTGCTTTGCCCTCTGCCCTAGGAAGATCTTTGCCTTTGACCTGGATGCCAAGCGGCTGGCATCAATGGCCACGCTGCTGGCCCGGGCTGGCATCTCCTGCTGTGAGCTGGCTGAGGAGGACTTCCTGGCGGTCTCCCCCTCAGACCCACGCTACCGTGAGGTCCACTATATCCTGCTGGATCCTTCCTGCAGTGGCTCAGGTGAGATGGGGAGAAAGCGTGGCCGACGGACTTGTAGGTCCACAGCAGCCTAGACCCAGAGTCATCATTTGTTTTGGTCTTGGTTCTGACACTTTAATGGGCTGGGGACCCTGTGGCAAAGGTTCTCTGTGAAGTGAGGATTTCAGGACTGAGGCAGCCTGTGTGACCGAGACACGCTTTTCCTTAGGTATGCCGAGCAGACAGCTGGAGGAGCCCGGGGCAGGCACACCTAGCCCGGCGCGTCTGCATGCCCTGGCGGGGTTCCAGCAGCGAGCCCTGTGCCACGCGCTCACTTTCCCTTCCCTGAAGCGGCTCATCTACTCCACGTGCTCCCTCTGCCAGGAGGAGAATGAAGACGTGGTGCGAGATGCGCTGCAGCAGAACCCTGGTGCCTTCAGGTACGGGGCGTGCGCCAGGGTCGTGGGAGGGGGGACAGGGGTGAGCTGCTCTCTTACCCAGCACTGGGGCTATTTCCCTCACAGGCTAGCTCCTGCCCTGCCTGCCTGGCCCCACCGAGGCCTGAGCACATTCCCTGGTGCCAAGCACTGCCTCCGGGCCTCCCCTGAGACCACGCTCAGCGGTGGCTTCTTCATAGCCGTAATTGAACGGGTCGAGGCGCCAAGGTGAGTGAGTGGGAGCATGCTTGGGAGATGCAGGATGGCACCGGCACATCTGACATCTACACTTCTTTAGTTCAGCCTCACAGGCCAAAGCATCAGCACCAGAATGCACACCCAGCCCAGCCCCAAAGAGAAAGAAGAGACAGCAAAAAGCTGGAGCCGGTGCTTGCACGCCGCCTTGCACATAGCAGCGGCTTCGGGTTGACTCCTTCCTGGTAGGAAAGGAAGACGCCCGTCCTCTCCGTGGAGGACCCTGGGCCCTCACCGCATGCAGCAGTTTGGGTTTTGAAAGGTTATTGGGTCCTTTCCTTGGGCTGTGTTCTTGCTGGTGAGAAAAGTGCCTGCAGAAATAAAATAAAATGCAGAACGTACTCTATGATAGATCACAGTTTTTTATTCTTAATGACATAAGCAGGAGAAAAATCTCACATTCATACTAAAAATTCCAACTAGACTCAACAGGAATGAAGTCTCTACTTGTAATGGAAAGTCCCAGCCTCCCGCTTCTGTCCAGTGCGCGTACTGTACACATCCACACTCACACTCACTCAAGGGTTCCCGGACCGGCTGTCCTGCCTGCGGAACTGAGGTAAACTAGCTCAGGTACTGACACTAGGAGGGTCTACCTTACGTAAGGTACAGGTAGAAGCTTGATTTCTAGGCCCAGGCCCGGGCCCACCCCGACCCTCCAATCCTAACAGGTATTTAGGCTTGAGGTTCACTCCCTCCTCAGCTGCACACACCGCCGGGTATGAACAAGGATCAGAGCTGTTCTGAGGGGTGGGAAGGAGCAGCCCCGCCACCGAACACTCACCCTCAGTCACAACGGGGAGGGGGCACCGGTTACATCTACATCACATTATTTATAAAATAAGAATTACATTTTATATAACGTGGCCAGAAGGAGCTCTAGTCCCCCAGGAAAGCTGCCCGGGACAGCATTTGAGCCTCCTCTTTGCACAGGCATAACTTAACTATACAGCTAATTCCTAGTCAATAGCATTTATACTTAACCACCTCAATGAACCAAGCTTGAAGGAATTTAAAAGGCAATTTAGCTTAAATACAAAAATAAATTTTTGTTAAAAAATGTTTAAATATTTTTTTCTTTTAATTTAGACACACGCATTCATACTTCTCCCAAAGAGGTTGGGCATGGCAGCAAGGCTCTTGGGCCTGGGGTATGTGGTTTCAGAAGGAAAGGAAAGGAAAGGATGGGCTGCGGAGGAGGACCCTGTTTGGGAAAAACAGGATTTTAAAAATATGGTTCATTAATTTAGGTTTTCTAACATCTGCTTTGGGTGATGTAGCCTCCAGTGAGGTCAGGTAAGTGGGACAGAAGCAGCAGAGGGAAGAAGGGTCTTTGCTTCCCCGGGGCCCCATCCTCCCGGGCTGCCAGCCCTTGAAGTCAGAACACCATTGGAAAATTCAGGAGTCGGCACTTGTAGCCGTCAAGTGGTGCTACTTTCCACATTCAATTAGCGAGGCCCCAGAAAACTTGAAACAGGAAGTCCGGCACTACCAACATGCCGCCACTCATACAACTCAATTCTTCCTCCAAACTCGATTCAAAGAGCAATACACAGAGTGTCAGACAAAGGAACACAGGACAAGGCTTGAAACATACAATCCTGGAGAGGCAGACGAGGGCCCAATGGGGCCAAAGGGTGGCTGGGCGAGGAGGCAGCTGAAGCAGCGGTGGGCATCCTGCCTGCTCCAAGAGCTTCTCCCTCCTGGAGCGAGGTATCTCACCCCTGGCTCTGCCAGGCTAACAGTCTTGAGCCACCAAGCTTTGAGGGGCCAAACTGGCAGAGGGTTGGAGATGAAACATTGATTCAGGCTTGGCAGGAAGAAAACGGCAGGAGCAGCACCCACTGGGGTCTCCAAGGCAAAGCTAGATTCAAGGGCATTTAAAAAGGAATCAATCCTGCAAGGAACCGGTGAGGGACACAGCAGCAAGAAATGGGGAAACAGAGTCCCCAGAAGGGACCAAAGGAAGAGAACCACTTCTCACAGCTAAGCCAAGCAAGGTCAAGCCTTAGGGATAACCCATTTCCCAAATCCCATCAGGTGCACACCAGCGATCCAGGCGGGCTGGACCCTGCACCCTCCAGCCACGGCGGCTCTTGGGGAAAGGTGGAAGGGGCGCCTGTCTAAGGGCGTGCTAAGCGGGAGTCAGGGCAGCGGACGCTATGTACAGGTGTTTCCTTAGTTCTCCAGCCTCCCCAGTGGAACTGTTCAAGTAGAGGTCCCGGGCTTTGGCCCTCCGCATCCTGCTTCCCCATCCCTGAGGCTTGTGCTTCCTCTAGGAGAAGGGAAAGGGCCCCAGGGCTGCCACTACCCCCTGGCGGCTGAAGCCAGAGATCCGGGGTAGGTTTACTTTATGCAACTCGAAGGGTCAAAGGCTCTTCCCAGCAGGTGCCAAGGTCCAGATTAAGGGAAGGGGTGGGGGAAACAGGGACAGGGGACAAAGGCTATTTTTTGCGGTTGTGCTGCCTTCGGGCCTGCAGTCGCTGTCGAGCCCCTGGGGTCTTGGATCCCGCACCAATGGAAAATGAAGGGGCCGCCGATCCTGGAAAGATTCAACAAGACCTCATCAGGGCAGCTGCTACCTGAGACCCCGGCCCTGGGGGCCCCAATCTCTGGAAGGCTAGGCCAGTAACAAACACAGGGTGCCTCAACAGGGCTTTCCCCGCTGCATCACAAACACTGTACGGGAGGAGCCTCCTGAAATGCAAACTCCCAGAGAGTCTCAGAGCAAGGCCCACGAATCTATTTTTGCCTGGCTTCCCATGGGACGGCAAAGTTCCGCCCTGGATGGCTCCTCTCTGATCTCTGCCATCCAACTCCCATCCCTGGGCTGTGCTGGACTCCTAACCCGAATTGTCTTTCCTGTGCTGGACCTGATCTTCACCGGGCCTCAGAGGGCCAGGAGCCTGCCACCCCACCCAAACCCTCCTCAGACAGAGGAGCAGGGCCATAGGGCAGCTTGCTGCTTACCAAACGGTCCAATGCCAACAAAGCCTTGGGCAGGTGTTGAGGATGCCCCAAAGGAGAGGCTGCTGCCTGATGTGCCCACTCCAGGCGCAGGGGTGTTCTGACCAAAGGTGGGAGTGGCGGTGCCTGGAGTGAAGAGAACAGAGAGCTGCAGAGAGCTGGCCAGTGAGCAGAGGGCGGAGGCAGGCGAGGAACCGGGCAGGAGCCTGCACTCTGCAGGGCACCTCCCACAGGGCCCTCAGCCCCATTCCTGCTCCTTGGGCACTCCTTCATCAGCAACTGAGCCAGACAACCGAGTCTTCATGCTGGGTGCCCCAGCTCAGCCTGCTCCTCCCACCTGCTAATGGCCCTGCCATGGCAGAGAAAAAGCCCTCCTGACCCGCAGCCGCCTCGTGGGCCTCTGGACCACCGCTGTAGAGGGGAGGACTCTGGGGCCCCCGCCTCCTAGTGTACCCGGGTTGGCCACCTCCTCTCTTCAGGCCTTTTCCCCCAGCCACTGTCTCCTCTCCTGTGAAGCCTGCTCTGTCCACCCCTCATCTTTTGTGATGCCCCCTGGTGCCCTCCCCTCCCTGGCCTTGCCCTGACTGGCTCTGGCTGCCTGCCTGATGCCCTCTCTGGCAGCCCCTGCTCTCAGGGCTTGGCCTCCGGCCCGGGCAAGGGGAGGCTCCCTGTGCTCCCACGCTGCTTCCACACAGTTTCTCTTCCTTCCCTAAATACCGTAACTCAAGTTTAAATCATCACTTTATTCTAATCCGCCGTGTCCTTGTGTCACCTGTCAAATGCCAGGTCACTCCCCGATTCACAGAGGACCCTTGGCTCACTGGCCTCCTCCCCATCACCACTTGTGGTGACCTCGCCCTGTGAGGCTGACTGATAGTCCTCTTAGCCCCTCGACCTTGCCACCCCCATGACCTCCTCTCCCTGACCCCTGCCACCATTCCTGTGGTCACACTGTCACCCAACTGCTCTGGCTCCTAAATCTCCTGCAGGCACCACCCCTCCTGCATCTGACTTCACCTGCTCTGCACTCCTGCACCCGCTGAGCCGCACTGGGGTACTGACCCGCTGCCCCTCCTGCTTTGCTTGCTGGGGTCTCCACGGCAGGGTGGCACCAGCTGTCCACTGACCTTAGGTCTACACCCACAGTGTTGCTGGGAAACACACACACCATGCTAACTGGCCTCACTTTAACTTCACAATCACCATTTTCCAGCCCACAAACTGCTGGAAAGTGATTACACTTTTTAATATGATGTTCCTTTCCCCCACTGTCCAAAATGACTTTCAAAAGGCCCCCCCCCCTTTTTTTTTTTTGAGACAGAGTCTGTTGCCCAGGCTGGAGTGCAGTGGCGAGATCTTGGCTCACGGCAAGCTCCGCCTCCCGGGTTCACGCCATTCTCCTGCCTCAGCCTCCCGAGTAGCTGGGACTACAGGCGCCCGCCACCACGCCTGGCTAATTTTTTGTATTTTTAGTAGAGACAGGGTTTCACCGTGTTAGCCAGGATGGTCTCGATCTCCTGACCTTGTGATCCGCCCGCCTCGGCCTCCCAAAGTGCTAGGACTACAGGCGTGAGCCACCGCGCCCGACCAAAAGGCCCCTTTTTTATACACTTTATCCCGACCCTCTCCCAGATTTTCTCTGCTACTTCACAAAGAAAACAGAACCCATGAGGTCTACATTCATCTTCCACACAGGAGGAACCATCACTGCATCCTTCTGCCTGATTCTGCAATGGTTTTCCTGAACACTTAAGACCCCAACACCCAGCCCTGGCCACAAACAATCCTCTTGGCCTCCTTCCACACCACTGCCTCTGCTTTTCACCCTCCTGCCACGCTTGCCTTTGCTCTGCTCTTGAACATACCAAACATATTTCTGCCTCTGGGCCTTTGCATGCACCATCCTGTGCCTGAAAAGCATGTCCACTTGTGCTGTGCCCACCCCCACCCCACCCTCACACTCAGCTTACTTTGTTTTTTGAGACAGCCTTGCTGTCACCCAGGCTGGAGTACAGTGACATGATCTTGGCTCACTGCAACCTCCACCTTCTGGGTTCAAACCATTCTTGTGCCTCAGCCTCCCGAGTAGCCAGGATTACAGGTGGGTACCACCACACCTGGCTAATTTTTTGGTATTTTTAGTAAAGACAGGGTTTCGCCAAGTTGCCCAGGCTGGTCTTGAACTGCTGGCCTCAAAAGATCCACCCTCCTTGGCCTCCCCCAAAATGTTGGGATTACAAGCATGAGCCACTACACCCAACCCTCAGCTTACAATTGTTAATTACTCAGAAGGGCCTTCTTTGACCAGCTAAATCCACAACAGCTCCTCCAGTCCTTATTACATGTTAGCAAAACATGTATCATGCCCTGTCATTTCAT